TGTTCACTTGGAAGTGAACTCGTTACTTGTATCAAAGATGTCAAACAAATATGATAAGATTGATAACTAAGTTGAGCACGAAGCTCCTATCCAATGGCAGACATGCCAGTCTTATATAGAACCTTCATACCCCGCGTATGGTCCGAGTATAGAGTAGTATAAGCCTTCCTTATACTTCCTTATACTCCGGTAGTATAGAGTAGTATAAGCCTCCCTTATACTTCCTCATACTCCCTAGTCACATGATCTTCTGTAAGGAAGAAATCCTTGGATCGCCTAGCTACCCTAAGCGATCCCCATTTGCTATAAGAAATCTGAATGTGCCTGTCGAGGGTTGCGCCTCTTATTATGACAAGTATCACGTGAACACGTGATTCGTGACAAATAGCTATCTACTTACTTTACTATCTACTAACTAAGCCCTTACCTATACCTAAGATAATAGAAAAGAGGAGACTATACTAGAGAGTACTACTTATAAGTAACTTTAATACTTATAGTCTAGAGTAAGATAAGTACTGATATATAAACCTAGCCTTAGTATATATCTACTAAGTAATAGTAGAGTAGGGTCTCTACTTACTTATACTATTTAGAGAGATTACTAGAGATAGAAAAGAAGATTAGAAAGACTTTATAATTAACCTAGCTATCTTTTTAGAAGAGTTTATAATATAGGAGTAAGCTAAGAGCTTCTTATACTTAGACTATAGGAGCTAGTACCTTAAAATTAACCTTAGAAAGACCTCTTATAGTGTCACGAACACGTGAATCAAGGGGACCTTAGGCTCAGACGTCCGTGGTGACGACAGGAGAACCCCGAGGATTCATACTCTTTCATATAAGCAGAAGGGTCAAATAGAAGGCCTGGTGGCCTTCGAAGCGACCCAAGGATTTCACGGGGTCTGGGTCATGTGACCTAGGGATCATAGGGAGTCGTAGCGACCCAAAGTAGATCGCGGCGACTCTAGACGATCTGACATTCCATGGTAGTATCAAAGAGAACAAAGGTTCTATATAAGACTGGCACGTCTGCCATTAGATAGGAGCTTCGTGCTCAACTTAGTTTACTTAGTTACCAATACCTTTTGACTTTGACGACTTTGTACAAGTGACGAGTTTACCTCTGAGTAAACAACCCGGCGCATCTGATCTTCTTATCTGCATACCAACTTTCGGAACGATTACTTTTGTTAGATAGTTTGAGTTTCGTCACATTATACTCTTGGAACTAAAGAAGATAAAAGAAGAAAAAGAGTAAGCTAGAGCCTATAGACTAATTATACTACTATCTATAGTTAAGAAAGTAATTAAAAAGGTTATAATAATTTAGCTAGCCTATTTAGTAGAGATTAAAGAAATACTCTCAGAGATATAAATAGGAAATAAGTCTAGAAGAAATACTATGATAGCTATTAGGATAGTAATATAAAGAGTCTATATTACTTAGAGTAATAAATACTATATATTTGTTGATACGACTGTACAGGTTTGTTCTCTCTCTCTCTCTCTCAAAGTGTGACACAAAGTAAGCGCGCTGATTCTCGATTGTATTCTGTGTGTTCCTCCTATCTACAATTGCTTCGGACGATGGGTAAAAGAGTGTGGGTGTCTGATACGAAACACGTATCAGATGCGTGGGGAAAAACGTGACATAGGAAAACGTGACCTGCACCGCTGAAAACCCGAATGCCAGCATTCCAACAATTCTAGTATTCCCAACACTGGCAATCTTTTCTTTTCTTAATCCCGTGAACAGGATAGACAAGGTAAAAGGAATACTAGTCGCTCCTTCCTCCAAAAGAGTGTGATGTCTTCGTACGAAATCAAAAGCTTGGCGTTTGGTTCCTTCCCGCGAAGTTCGTACAAAGCGTTTGTTTTAAATTTCTGGTCCTACTCCTTCGTACGAAGTTGACTCACCAACAACAACAACGACAACAACGACAACAACAACAACAACAACAGCAATCTTTCCTCTTCTTCTTCTTCCCCTTCTTCTTCTTCTTCTTCTTCTTCTTCTTTTGTGCCATTCTCAAAATGGCCAACAATGCCAACTTGTGAGTGTCTCTTTCATTCCTTACCCTCTCATTTTCACTTTCGAAGGTGATCGTACGAAGTATGTTTGATTAAAACTAACTTCGTACAAGGGCTCTTGTCCTCTTTAACCCTGCCAACGCGGCTCCAGNTCTTCTTCTTCTTCTTCTTCTTCTTCTTTTGTGCCATTTTCAAAATGGCCAACAATGCCAACTTGTGAGTGTCTCTTTCATTTCTTACCCTCTCATTTTCACTTTCGAAGGTGATCGTACGAAGTATGTTTGATTAAAACTAACTTCGTACAAGGGCTCTTGTCCTCTTTAACCNAACTTGTGAGTGTCTCTTTCATTCCTTACCCTCTCATTTTCACTTTCGAAGGTGATCGTACGAAGTATGTTTGATTAAAACTAACTTCGTACAAGGGCTCTTGTCCTCTTTAACCCTGCCAACGCGGCTCCAGCGGTTGGCGGTGGTATGCCATTGCTTCAATGCAGTGGTCAGGAGTTGGCAAACTTCTGTGTGAATAACACACAGTTGAATGCCCTTGCGCTGCCTGGTCAGAACGTTTACTATGTAAACGGTTCTGTCACAGTTGCTCGGGTTGTCTCTCGCAGGCAATCGTACATCAACGCGTTGATTATACAATCACGCGGCGTTGTACGAGCTGTGCCTTGCACTGAATGCTCCCGGCGGGGTTATTACCCCTTCACTTCTTGCACCTTCCTCGTTGGCTNGTACATCAACGCGTTGATTATACAATCACGCGGCGTTGTACGAGCTGTGCCTTGCACTGAATGCTCCCGGCGGGGTTATTACCCCTTCACTTCTTGCACCTTCCTCGTTGGCTACTTCGGTGGCTGTTGTGGGGCTTGTAAGTGGAGAGACCACGCTGCGCGATGCAGACAGCCGGAGGTGGTTGAGTTGTCTTCGGACGACGATGATAGTTCCCCTCCTCCTCCANTGGCTACTTCGGTGGCTGTTGTGGGGCTTGTAAGTGGAGAGACCACGCTGCGCGATGCAGACAGCCGGAGGTGGTTGAGTTGTCTTCGGACGACGATGATAGTTCCCCTCCTCCTCCAACTTCTTCGGATGATGAAGGTCCTTCGGACAATGAAGGCTCTGACTTGTTCGTAGATGCTTTGGAGGTTCAACCAGCTGAGCAGCCTGCTGCTTCTGGCTCTGGGTCTCGTATTATGGTGTTGGTTTGATTACTTCCTTTTGTCTTTTGGAGTTTGGCGTACGGCGTTTTTGGCGTTTGGCGTTTGGCGTTTTTTTTTTTTACTCAGCCCTTATTCTTCAACCTTTTCGTGGTGGCTGGGATAAGTACCAAGTGGGAAACCAATGAAGAAACTCCAATAACTCCCTTATACAATGCTTATGTTTTTCTTGTTTTTCTGATATTCTTGTACAATCCTATTTCCCTACTCTTCAACGCCTATTATCTAACCCTCGCACTACTTTTCTTGTCGTTTAACCCATCCTTGCACTCGTACGATAAGTTCGTTCGTGTCTAAGAACTTTTCAAGACTCTTGTTCGGGTTTTCTTTTGTCATTGCATCTGCTGGATTGTCTTGTCCATTTATCCAGCGTATTTCTGCAATTTCCCTTCTTTCGTACGATTGCCGGAGTGCCATAATGTCGATCATGAGTCTCTTTTCCTTCGTTGTTCCAAGCTTGACCAGGCATTCGTACAATGAGAATGAGTCCGTACACACGATGATTTGAGCTGCTGGCACGTTTAGCTGCTTTGTGATCATTCTGATTGTATCGAGTATTGAAATTGCCATGTCTACTCCCCCAACCATGCCATATATTTCAGAAGCCAGTACACTTCGTGTAACTCTTTTGCTCTTTGTACTGCTCCAATGTACAAGGTTTCCTTGAAGAGTAAATGAATCGTCTCCGTACAAAGCACTTCCTGATTGCTCATTTGCCAGGAAAATCTCGTATCCAATTTGCGAGCTCAAGTCCTTGTTGTTTGCGAATGACCCGTCTACGAATACAAAAAGTTTCATCCGTTGTAAGTCGATTGGAATATATGATATTCCTCTGTCTGAATTCTCGATTTGCCATTGGATTCGTTTATTAAGTGCCTTGATGTCTTCGTCCGAAGGTTCCTGATGCTGTGCTGCTACTGACAGGTCAAATCCCGCTTCTGGTTGACATATCGAGGCTACGTATGCCCCTCGTGCCCGTTGCTCTCGGTATTCTTTCTCTCGTACACCAGATCCGGGATCAATTGTCTTGAGTTTCTTGCCTTGTCCCTTTTGTGCAAGTCTGATCGTATCTCCCTCCCTTTTGAGGATACATCCGTTAAATGCCAACTCTTTTTCGTACGATAATGTTTCGATATCCTTTGCTTCGTATCCTGCATTCTTGAGTTCCCTCGCCTCTCGTTGCTTGAATGCACGATCACCAAGAATAAGAGTGTCATCTGTCTGAAGTCCTACGATTGCGTGGGCATCTGAAGTGTTCGTGATAAATAAACATGGATCGTACGAAGAAGTTTCCATGTGAAGTCTCTCTTTGTGATGATTGCTGTAGTCGAGGTACCAGTGTGTTCCTGATTCTGGTATACCGTACAAAGGTTTAATAATTCTCATGAGCCATTTGTCTCCTCGTGGTAGAGTGTTCTCAATAGCCTTTGGTGTCCATGCGAGTATTTCTCTCATCAATACTGAGTTTCCTGAGATATATGCTTGAGTAATATCTCGTACGAAGAGTTCAAATCCCATCTGAAGTAACGTGGGTGCAAGCGCGAGGATTACTCTCTGGCTCGCTCGCTGGATTGTTGGAGATTGAGTTAATATAAACTCTTTTCCCTCGTCATCGTATGCTTGAATTACAAGTCTTGACTTTTCGTACGGTATCTTTGTCGTTTTTCCTTTGATTTCGTCAACAAGTCGTGAGTTGAATATCTTTCCTCGGTGGATGTTTGGATCGTACGACTCAAATTCAAAGACTCCTTTTCCGATCAAGTTATCAATCTCCTTCTTCCTTGAGGCTTCAAATGGGCAACCAGGTGTTGTGATTATCCCTTCGTTTCGGAGCTTGATTGACAATTCTAGATCATCTTTCTCCTTCCGAGTTAAAAAGGTCATCGTGTACTCGTACGATCTTTGTTGGCTCTTGATATCCGCAATGAATTGTCCGTATTGCTGTTCGTCCAATGCGATCTCTGTGGTCATTTGCCGTTCAGTTCGTTGTGGAATTACCACCATTGGGGTCATTGTCCGAAGCTTTTCTCGATGCTCAGGTGCAATTTGCTCCTCGTCCAATTGCTCATCGTCCAATTGCTCATCGTCCAATTGCTCCTCTTGTTGAGTATTTGGTGTTTTCTCGACTTGAATCTCTTCTTCAACTTCAGTTTCTACCTCAGGTTTGATACTCGTTGATTTGAAGTCTCGCGGTCCTTTTGGCATTTGGATTGTACAGGTTTCTCCGTTGATTGAGAGAAGAAGATATGGTCCTTTCCATTTCTTTGGCTTCTCTCTCCATACAAATACTCTTGATCCAATCGGAAGTGTTGTCGTACGAAGCGTATCTGGGCCGTTTCTTGTTGCAAGCGCTTCTTGGACTTGTCGTTTTGCTTTCAATTCTCGTACTTCTTTCATCGCCTTCTGGATAGCTTGCGCTCGTACGATCATCGATGGAGCTGGAGCATCTGCCTCACTTATTCGTGGGTATGTTCCAAAGACTAGTAGAGTTGGTACAAGCCCGTCTGGACCTGCTGTGTCGTTACATGCCTTGACTGCCATCTGGAGAATACGGTGCTTATCAATCCCTTGCCCCTGTAATTCTTCTGTCAAGATTTCGTACGACCTTCTGAGTGTGGTATGATATCTCTCAACCTTTCCGACACTGTTGTGTGCTTCAACTGGTACTTGCTTGACTTCAACAGACATTGTCCGAGCATTCTGCCGGAACTCCTTTGAGAAGAAGTTTGTTCCTGCATCATGTACTAGAAGGTCTGGTGGTCCAATGTACGAATCAATCCATAAGTATCGGAACAAGTCCCATGTCTCCTTTGCTGAGCTGTTCTTCAAGAAACCCGCTGCTGTATATGACGTCGCTTCGTCCACAATCTGAAGGGTCGCATCTCCGAGTAGCCAGAGTACGTCAATATACACTGCGAAATTGAAGTGGTTGTCTTTCTTGATTGAGAACTTGAATCTCCCTGGTGCTTTACCGTACACTTGGCATTTCTTGCAATGTTCAGTAATCGTACGAATAACTCTTTCCTTCACATCGCTATGTCCTGCCCTCTCAAGAACCTTGTGAAGTCGTCGTACCGATGGGTGTCCAAATCGTCGGTGGAGTTGCCGTAGTTCTGTGTCAGTTAGGTGGCTGTACGCTATCGCTTCCTCTGGTCGGTCCAATAGCATCCACGGGTGTCCCCATTTTCGTACGATTGGTATAGTTTTCTTTCCTTGGACCAAAACATTCTTTAAATTGTCAAGTGTTACTCCCATGTTATCCATGTCTTGTAAACAATACAAGAAAGGTGTGTTCGCGGGTACAATATGAAATGTGATTTGTCCCAGAGGTGTTTGCACTTCTACCGTTCCTTCGGATTTAGCTTTCCCTTTTCCAAATCGAATTGTGTGAGATCTGTCGTTCGTACGAAGCATCTGGATCGACGGGTTGATTCTTTGCAGTGCCTCGAGCTGTGGTCTCCCTGCTGTTGATATTCCTGCTGCTCCTGTGTCTGGCATAATACCGTGGAACTCTGCTGATGAATATCGGTCTTCTAACATGAAGATTTCTGTGTGATCTTTGCGCTCTTCGTACAATTGAGAAAATATATCTTCTTTTGTCATTTGGTGATATATTGCCTGGTCTGCCAAGACCGAGATTACCTTCAGTCCGTTGACATTTCCAATATGTGTATTGAATGCCTCTGGATTGTTGTTCTCCCTTTCGTACGAATGGATTTCCGATGTCCAGTGATTTCCGTACTCCTGGATATTGTCTTCGTCTGTGTCCTCATCCGTGTACTCATCTGGTGTACCCTCTTTGTCGACTAGGAAAGTCTCCCAGTCCTTCTCGCTCCATTGGAAGTCTTGCAACAGCTGGTCCTTGTAATTTCCGTACGCTTTCTTTCTTTCTTCGTCCGAATGATTTGAAGACCAGCATCCTTCTTTCTTACACACATAGCATTTCTTCCCAGTCCTGTTTGTACGATATAAGTTCTTCTCGTACGATTTGAATCCTCTTTGGTTTTCTTGCGAGAATCTTTTCCCTCGGAATTCTTCTTTCTTTCTACCTCGTGGCTGAAATGATTGGCGTTGGTACGGGGTTTTAATCCCTTCGCTCTTTTCGTACGTGCGATCTGTCCAGTACTGCCGTGGTTGATATTCGTCCGACGATCCTTCTAGTTCTATTGTATATGATCCTTTCTCCCCTTTTTCGCGTACGGCGGTCCCAATCGCTGATCTCAAGTTCGAGCATAGTCCTTCAAATGTCGGCGCTGGCTGGTAAAGTGCTAGTCTACACTCTCTCACTCCCTTGCATGCACTTAACACTTGGTCCCGAAGGTTGTTTTCGTTTTGGTACTCGATTGACAATCCTCTCTGTGCTGTACGAAGAAGATCAAAAAGTTTCTCAAGTACTTGAAGTCGAGTCATGTCAGGATTGTCTCGCGCGACTGTTTGGAATGTTGTTCCTTTCCACTCTGCCAAATACATCATCCGATTCTCTTCTGTCTCAAAATGTGCTTTTGTCATCGTGATCATCGTAGGAAAATCGTACGACCGTCCTGATATCTTGTCGTAGTAAAAATCATTTGCTCTTCCTTTGAGCATAATTGAAAATGCCTTGTGGTACTCTGCCTCGTGCAATCCAACCTTTGTGCAGCAGTCGTAAAATACTTGGAGTTTGATATCCAAAATATCGTACAACTCCCCTCCGTACTTTTTACTATCATGTGAATAGATCTTCATCAAGTCAATCAGGAATTTGTTTGAGTTCGTCCGAATTCTCTCGTACCTCGGATTCTCTGTACGATTCCCCTCGTATCTTGGATCTTCTGTGCGAGTCCTGGCCTCGGTGTCTCTTTGTCCAAAGCTGTTCTGTTCCCTTCGCAATATTGGATGTTCAGGTGCATTGAATCGCGAGTAAGGTCTCGTTTCTGGAAAAGGAGTATTGTCTCGCGAGTCATGAGGTATAGGGGTATATCCTCGTCCGACATCCTCTTGAAACATCGTCTGAAATGCTGGGTTCCTGGCATTTGGAGTTTGGTTTTCCGTGTGTTGCCTTTGATCTTGATCGTCTTGTAATAGAGTTCGGTTTTGCGTTCCTTGGATCCTGTCTGAATTTTCTTGGATTTCTTGTTCTCTTGGTTCCAATTCTCTGGTGTTGTCCCTTGTACGATTTCCTGGGGCAGCTCTTGATTGATTCACAGGGTTCTTCTCTGAATTGAAGATTGCGTTTCTCTGTTTAAGATGAGTTTGGATTTCCGCATCAGTCCATTCATGTTGGTTCTCTTCTTGAAGGACCCCGTTGAGTACTGCTGCGTAGGAAAGTCCGTCTACTGGTTTAACCCATACTCCGTTCTCTGTAAGGGTCGTACGAAGCTCCTGGAGTGCTTTCCTGCTCCCGATCTTGAAGAGTTCCAGAGTCCAATCTTCAAAGTGTTCCCGAAACTCAGTCCAGAGTTCTTTGTCCTGAAGCTTTTCGTACTTCTCGTTCTCGAGTAGTAATAAGATATGCGTGTTGACTTTCTCTTCTGTGTGATTCTCGGGATTCTCTGGGTCAAAGTTCCTTCCCCATTGCTCTTCTAACAATGGGTATCTCCTGTCCTCCTGTTGTCCTGGTAATTTCGCCATTTCTGGCTGTGTACGAAGCTCTTGGTCGTGTTCGTACGATAACGCTTTTGGCGGTAGATCTCTTCCTGCTTTCAGTCCAATTCTCCCGTACGTCTCAAGTGGCCGTGATAGACGCAGAACCTCCAATTGTCGTCCCTCTAGGGCTCGGTAGGGAAGACGACAGCTGAATATTCCTTGAATATTACTTCACAGTGTGAAATAATACTCTCTAGCACAGTCGTACGAAAAAGGATTCGTGAGTCTCCGATCTCGCCGTTTCTGTCTCTTCTGGTAAAGTTGATACCTAGCTGTTCCGTGGTCTTTCAACCACTGATCAGTGTTGATACGACTGTACAGGTTTGTTCTCTCTCTCTCTCTCTCAAAGTGTGACACAAAGTAAGCGCGCTGATTCTCGATTGTATTCTGTGT